GGCGGGCGGGGTGACGCTGTGGGAAGTCAGGAAACACTCTTTAGGAAGAGCGAGGGCTGAGAGGGAAGGGATGAGAGGTAGTGTGGCTGAGGTTCCTGTCATTTGTGAAAACAAAATCAGTATACCAGAGTAATATGAGAATGAATGACTTCAGGGGCCCAGATGCTAAAGATCAGGGGAAAACAAAAAAGATTAATCAGCTTTATTGATTGAAATAATTTCTCTGGCAGTGTAAATATGGGGAGGTACGGGGCAAACAGTTGAAAGGAACCTTTTTCTTATTAAAGAAATGGAAACAGAAATTCAGTAAAGACCCATGGCAGGGGAAGACGCTGTGCCTCGGTTACTGGGACCCCTGTAGCAGTTCCAGGGTTTGAAAATCCTAGAGCAGCTGAGATCTATTAAACTTCTCAGATACCTGAGGTTATACTTCTGGCATAAGCCAACCCAAGGTCTGACCTCAACTATCAGAAATAACGCAGTAAAGATAGAAATACAGTGAAACATGAAGCGTCGTAAATGAACAAGTCTGTCTCCAGCTGGGATTGGTGATGCCTCAGTTTCCTACTTCATCTCATTTTGGTAAAACGGACAGATGTCCATCAAAAAACGAGTGTCTTGGTGGTAAAACCACCTGGTAAAACCAAACAGTAGACCATTTCTAACAATAAATTTCAAATAATTTACTTTGGAGGTGAAGAGAGGCCTCTATGCCTCATCACTCTGCTGTTTGTCCTCTTGGGAACCGTACCCCAGTCCAAAAGGCCAAACTTGCTTTTGCTTTAGCACTTCCGTAACTATGCTTGCTTATCCCATTCTTTACTGCACAGCATCTTCTGCCCAACCACCCCCACTTACTAGATGAAATTTGTCTGACTATTGAAATTCTCTTAAGCATCCTGGTCTTATCTCAGATGCTTAAATTCCTCTGTAAATACCTCCTAGGTTTCCCTAGCCAGAATGAATTACTCCGGCACTCTATGATTTGTATCTGTGTTCAGCTCTTTGATCATTTGTTTTATGCTTAATATTTCACCTGGCTGACTCCTGTGCTCTATTCAGAGCTCTTCCAAGTCGAGGACACTCAGTCCCCTTGTAAGTGCTGTTTCTGTGTTTGCAATGAGTTGAGCTTTTAACAGCTGGGCTCACATAGAGCATTGCCTCCTTCACTGAGGTTCACTCTGAAACAAGGATCTCTGAACTCCAGAGATGGAACTTCTGCCAATGTCTGGATTGTCCCTATGTGGCCCATGATGGCTTCCAGCCTCATTTATAAGGAGAAAGTAGAGCTGGGAAGAAGAAGGGCCCATATGCAGAGATTCCTATAATTTCCTCCAAAGCGCTTTGGAAACTGCCTAGGAATTCGTGTTCATAAACACAGTGAGTGTATATGCAGACCGTTTCTCAGAACAAAAATGTGTGGGTGGGGTCCTTTTATTCCATGGGTCCCAAGTGCCTCATGATGCTAAGACAAGGTGAACCTTGGAGATTGTTATGAGCACTAACATCTGCCGGGCGAATATTTTAACCTCCATCCGATCTTTTTTTTTTTTTTTTCCCAATTTATTAACATCAATGTGATCGTGTTCACTTTACAGATGAACGAATCCTGGTACAGACATGGTGGCCTTTCGGTTTTGCCTCACACATCTGCACTGAAGCTGTGGGATGCAGCTAACCTCAGCGTTTTCAGGTCAGCGTTCAGGCTAATTCACACTGAACAGCAGCATCTCCCAGTTGTGAGTGAGCCGAAATAAAACAGGAGCTACGGCTGAACAATTCTAATCTTTGGCAGAGAGGGTGGAAGGTGAATGGCACTATGAAAAATGAAGAGAGTCTTGTTTCCTGTGAGCTAAAAATGGATAGCTCCAATTATTGCTCCTTCCACACATGAAGACGGTACAAAGTTAGTTAGTTATAAATAATGCATCCAACCATAGAGGGATGAGCTTTATGTTATGTTATTGTACATTAAAAACCTTTATGAGTGTGGCAAGAGACACATATACCAACAGCTGCTAAATTCAGAATCCTGGAGCTGTATCTTATTTTAATATAAGTGAAGAATCATACAGTCTATCGCTCTGGGGATTTCCAGCTACATAAAACGATCTAAAGTCTACATGAGATTTTACTCATGATTTCAAAGCACTTACGAAAATCTTTTTTCTCTATTTGAATGTCTTTCAACCAAACCCCCAGCCATACTACTGACAACAAAGATGACACTTTCTAGACTAGATTCCCAAAGCAAGAAACTGTCTTCCTTTCTCCCTTCCTCTTTCCTTCTTTCCTTCCTTTTTAAATTTCTTTTCACAGTTATCTAAAGAGCAGAATCAGAAGCTCATTTTCTCCCAACTATGTGGAGAAGCTGGTTACTGCACAATAAGTGGTTGGAACTATGTCTCAGAATGACTTAATTCAAGTGACGCCTGAGACTGGAAAGTCAGCCAACATTTTAAGGGGAATTGTATGTCTTAAGATCGGTAACTTCATGTTCTGAGCCTTAGAACATAAGGCAAATACTACATCGCATTCTAGAGAGAAAAAGTGCAAGCAATAAAACAAGCCAAGATACCACATAAAGTCCTTCAACTGAAATCTTTTGTCCACGATGTTATTCTGGTAGACTTTTAATAATTGGGGCAAAGATATCCAAGAACCCATCGGTGTGCATTCAGCATCTGACCAGGCACAGATCTCGAATGCGCAGGCTTGCTCAGTGAGTGGGCATTTGAATCTGGGGATGACTTTGTTATTCTTCCCTTAGCATACTTGTTATGGTTTTGGCTATAACAGCTCAGATGCAGATTTCTTGAACCAGTCGGGCAGATGAGATGTGTATCATAGTGATCCATGAGCCCCGTTAGAACAGAGTTTGAGGAAGACAGCAGCTGTAATTGTACAGAAAAAGACACCAAACTTAAACTGCACATTTTATTGGACGATTGGCCAGCAGTAATAGACCGGACCGATAATAAAGACAAAACCACAGATTTAGAACAGGCAGTAGAATCTGGAAGAACTCTGTGCAATTGCTTTGAATACACAGCCTCTCAAAATGACAGGGATTTTGCCCGCAGAGTTGCTAATGAAGATGTGGCTGAGTGTTCCTTGAGTGTGTTTATCCAGCTGTACACGAGCCTGTGTGACAGTAACTGGATTTATAAAAATTTTAAAATACCAAAGCCAAATTCTGAGGAAAGAAATTTCCCCGGAAGTGCACTAAAGCCTCGAATTCATAAATGAGAAGCTTTATTGCTACCACCTCTGTGTATAAACAGTTTTGCTTTTACCATGAAAGAAAATTTTAGACAAAGTGAAACTTACAAGGGGAGCAGAAGATAGGGCTCTTCCCAGCCCCCCACCCTACTATGGCTCTCAACTCTAGGGCCATTTTGCCTCTCGGGACATTTGGCAGTGTCCGGAGAAATTTTTGATTGTCACAGCTAAGGGATAGGGGACTCCTGCCATGTAGTGGGTAGAGGCCCCGGACGCTATTAAACATCCTGCAAAGCACAGGACAGCCCCACCCCCACCCCAAGCAAAGAATTATCTAACCCAGGATGTGAATGCTGCTGAATTTGAGAAACCCTGTCCTAGCCCACTGGTTCCAAAAATTGATGATGTGCAGGTCGTTGGTAATTGTTTCAATCAAGTCCTAAATTATCCCCTGGGCTTTCGATCACCTCATGTCATTAACTCCAGAGCCACCTCTTTCCTCTTTTATTCACACATGGCTTTCTGCTGTTTACCAGACACCGGGCCCATTTCTCTTCGCTTGACCAAAGACACACCTAAACCTGTCATTTCACCTCATGTAATACCCTGGGCTGGGCCTCTGGTAAATGAATTACTACAAAACAATAAAGGGAAGAAGTGACTTTAAGATTATAGGAAATGCTCTTCTAGTGTTAAAAAAAACTAAGCACGCCCCTTTATGCACACACAGGAGGTGAACACACACTCACAGGCACACCTCAACCACCTTTAGTATTATTTGAATTTATTCCTCTAGGATAGTGATTTTCGGATTAAAATTCTTGGACCACCAGTATCTGAAATCCCAGGGTTTTGTTAAAAATATCAGTTTCTCAAATCTGTCCCAACCCTGCGGATAAGACTCTTATGTGTGTGATCCAGTGATGTGCACCTTTTACATGCCCCTCGGATGCACGCCACACTTGACAGTCACTGTTCTAAAACAAGGACTCATCCTTCTCCTCTTCCCTACGCACCCGGGAGTTTGTCTCCGAGGGACCGTTTGGCG